AAAAAAAAAAAAAAAAAAAAAAGAAGCTGAATGGATAAACAAATCATGGGAGATACACACACACACACAATGGACTACTACTATTCAGCAACAAAAGGGAAAGAATTATTGATACACACAGCAATGTAAATCTCAAATAATTTTGCTGCATGAAAAAAGAAATGAGTATACCAGTATATAATTCGATTTCTATAAAACTCTAAAAAATGCAAATATATCTATAATGACAGAAAGCAGATTGACAGTTGCCTAGAGAGGGAAGGGTGTGAGAAGACAGCACAAAGAAGCACAAGGAAACTTTTGGGGATAATGCATATGTTTATACCTTCACTGTGGTGAGGGTTTCTCTGGCATCAAAACTTACCAAATTGTATACTTTAAATACAGGCAGTTTATTTTATGTCAAGTATACATCAATAAAGCTGTTTCAAAAAAAAACCACAACACATAAATACTCAGATTCCCCACTCCTATCCCATCAAAGGTGGTCTAAAATTATCCCATCACTCCAGCAGAAGGCTGCTAGTTTATTCTCTGGAGGAGATAAAGTCTCTTGACTATGGAAACAACATACACAATTAAAAATGGGTATAATGGGCCAGGCATGGTGGCTCACACCTATAATCCTAGCACTTTTGAGAGGCCAAGGCAGGAGGATTGCTTGAGCTCAGGAGTTAAAAACCATCCTGGGTAACGCAGTGAGACCTCATTTCCACAAGGTGGTGGTGCACACCTGTAATCCCAGCACTTTGGGAGGCCAAGATGGGCAGATCACAAGGTCAAGAAACTGAGAGTGTCATGGCCGACATGGTGAAACCATGTCTCCACCAAAAATACAAAAATTAGCTGGATGTGGTGGTGTGTACCTGCAGGCCCAGCTACTCAAGAGGCTGAGGCTGAGGCAGGAGAATCGCTTGAACCCGGGAGGCAGAGTTTACAGTGAGCCAAAATCATGCCACTGCGCTGCAGTCTGGTAACAGAGCAAGACTCTGTCTCAAAAAAATACACTGTGTGTGTGTAAAAAGGAAATGGAAAAACGAATGAGGATAAGAAAAATAACAGTATTTAGTAAATATTTATGTACTGAATCCTACCAGCCAAATTGTCAATCAAGTACAAAGATAAAATAAAAATATTTTCAGACATGCAGTTCAAGAAAAGTATGTTCTGATTACCCTTCCTGGAAAGCTACTGAGGGACGTGGAATATTAAAACAAAACAAGTAAACCAAGAGAGTGGAAGCCATAGAAATCAGGAAACGTGGAATTGAACACAAGAAAGATGTGAAAGGAATCCCCAGAATGCTTAAGATAAAAATCTCAGGAAACAGCTGTGTATAAGGC